GGGGGGGGGGGGGGTGAAAGAGTGACTAGGGCGTACACGGTAGAGGTGCAGACCGCTAGTGTCTTTTACTCACGCAGAGTCTTATCCTATTAGGTCCATTGACCCTCTCTTGAGCCTTGAAGCAGTCAAGCATGGACACACTATATCAGCTGTTGGAGTGGAACCCTGTACAGGTAGGCTCTACTTCTCAGCAGGCACAAGATTCATGTCCACTCCTAGCTGATTGCGTATGTCGCATACTCTTTTCCTACTGCAAGGCTAAAACAGTCCAGCTAGCTCTGACAACTTAAAGGAAACTACGGTGCCATGTACTTATCTAATCCAGTGTGTTTCGCACTTTGGAGAAGATAATCTCATAGCTACTAAATACAGTGAGGGAGCAATAGCTGACTCACCTCAAGTACAAAATCAAAGCGATAATGTACCTCGGCTGGAGACTGTACCTTTCGCTGGCGGAGATACCATGTACCGGCGCTCACTAGCTCTTTATGGCCTGAGCTAAATCAAACTAAAAGGGAAAGCGGCTTTTTCTCTACAGAGACCTATAAAAGAATCAAACGACACTCGCGTAACAAAGAACTAAAAATTCAAGACCGCACAATGCAATGAATTAAGATGCCTTGCAAAATGCAAGGAGCGTACGGTCCGAGGAATAATCTTCTCGTGATGTGGTCTCGACCGCTTTCATTCACAGACAAAATAAACTGCATCAAAAGGACTCTCTTTCACATTCACATCAAAAACACAAGAAGGAGATACCGGCAAATGTATGTACAAAACTTGCACTACAAATGCAGACTTATGAAATGACATAATCATCAACCATGAATGGTTGTCCATTAGAGGTCATCTCAGAAAAGCGACTGTGATAGATATCATCAGTTATGCAAAACTGTCCATACCTATCTACATGCTAAAGCGTATAAACCTGGAATGCAGGAGTATCTTCTTTGATAAAAAGTTTCTCCTGGTTCCAAACCAGAGTTCATAAAAACTTTAGCATGGCAATTTAAAGTCTAATGATGGCTAGGAAGTGAAGATACTTCTGGTTACAGTTGATACCTTGCTTCCAGGCTTGACTTTAAATTTCAGCCTTCGCTCAGGAATTATGCCGCTGCAGACGTTGAAGCTGCTTGATCAGAAGTTGGCGGCCTTCCTTTCCTTTTATTCTGCTTTTGTCTCTCCTTCCTCCGCACGTTCGCTTCTTGAAGCGTTGTTGCTGTGCGATACTGTCTTCTGTCTCCAGATGAAAGGGAAGCTGGTCTGAGTGAAATAAACATTGGACCATGACTGTCCTCGTCAGTGGGCCTTGAGCACATAACCTCTGTATCAATCATAGCAAAGTTCTCTGAAAAATTACAGATGAACTCCTTCGTGCTCACTGTGGAATTTTCATATTCCTCTACACTCATTGAATGACCCCATTCAACAATGGTAGACAAACATGTATCGCCAAGCCTTGATCCTTGGTATTCTTCTTTTTCAACAGTAGAGTATTCTTCCCAGAGTTTGTCAAAGTAGTCTTCACACTTCTTGAGGACCTGTGAAGTTGAACTGTAAAAAGTTCTGGGAATAGGTGCTTTGATACCAGGATCTGCTTGTACACGAGCTTCTGAAAACCTGCGGATCCAATGCTGCATGGTGCTGTAATAGTAGTTAGCCATTGGCTGTCTTTTGTACCCAGACATTCTGTAGGCCAAACTATTTGCATCACCAGAAATGATGTCCACCTCATAGACAAAACACTCGTAAAGCATCAATGCTGTCTGTTCTCCTGTCAGTAGGTGGGCATCCACAGCACGGTGTGTATCAACATGATAATTACAGACTCTGATGGTATGCATGTTCGCTCGAGTAAGTGGAACACGCTTGTCTTCTGGACCATAGTCATCAAATTCAAAGTCTGCATCCTTGAAATCTTGACGAGGCCTTGTTTCTCCAAAACAAATCTCGTATATAGCCCAAGTTACATCACGCTGTTCACAGTGACCAAATTCTTGGTCATGTCCAGCAATGATCTTGACATATCCACCTGGTGCCAATCTAGCCATCACTGCAAGATTCTCCCAATCATTGAAACAAACTGTCCAATTCTTTTGCTCAATAAATTCCTTGGCAGGAACAAGAAGATGAGCTTCCTGGAGAATCACGACATGTGCACGTAAAAAGAAGAGCATGTTGAAGAAAAGGTTGTTCTCAAATTGCTCATTCTGAAGTGACATGGCGCACTGCTTGCGTGGCTTCATTGCACCATCAAGTCCTTGGAGAAACCTTGGTGTGGTGTACTTCTGACCACGAACCATGTTACCATAATTCCAGGATAAAAATGTCAAGGACTCTGAGCTGGCCAATAAGTTAGTTCCATATGGTTCTTCTATTCTTCCTTTAAGGAACCTTCTGCACAGCTCTTCATAGAAGGTGACAAAGTCCCAACTGGGTCCCTTGGGACCATATAATTCCAGTTCCTTCTTGAGTTCCTTCTTCGTATCCTCCAATTCTTCTCGAGCATGACCTGCCCTTTCAAGGGCCCTTGGATCGACCTGATACCTGCCATCCAAATAAATGATTCGGTCATCATTGATGAAGAATCTCTTCAAATCATGCCCTCGTTCATGTTCATAACAAATAGGTGGAGGTACTGGACAGACATTTCGAATGGATCGAACAAAATCATTCTCGTTGATCCTTGACTGATAATGAGGATGGGAAATCTCATCTTTTCTGAAACAAACATGATTCAGCAATCTTGCATGAGTTTCCCTGAAGCGTAGTTGGTAAAAGCCAATACCTGGATCTCCTGTAAGCTCTCCAAGCAACTTCAAAGGTGAAGTATGCAATTCATAGGTATTGTCAGCTTTTGTTGTATCCTTTTCAACAACTACTTCAGATGGAAAAGATTCTTGGATTTCAGCCTCCAATTTCTTCTCTTCATCATCCTCTCTGACCTCTTTTATTTTCTCCACCGCCTCTTTCTTCTCTTCCATGGTTGCATCATCCTGAACTTCTTCATGAAAATGAGGATCAGGAATTTTATTCAGGCGGCTTTTCTTAGATTTCTGTTGACCTGAAGTATCATCAAGGTTAGCATCCATCTCACCTGATGGTAAGTGCGATGCAGTCGAGTCCTCACCTTTCTCTCTTGACAGAAAGTGTGGTGTTGACTCTTCCTTGGCTTCCTCCTGGTCAACTTCCATCTTTTGTTCCTCTGAAGGAAAAACACCTGCTTCAAAAGCTTGTTCTGCAACACCCTTGGTGAGCAAGTCCTCTACAAGATTTTCTCCTTCGGTTCTTGGTAGAGGTCCTGAGGTCTCATAAAAATCTGTCCTCTCTGAACTGAAAGTTTCTGTCGCCTTCTCATTGTCCTTTTGATCCCTGAACAGGTGAGTAATCTTCACAGCTTCTCCCGTAGCACCTGATCACCTCTTCTATACTTGTCGACAATGGAGCGCCATACTGGAACATCATCATCATCAAAATCAAGCTCCATATCATCTGCCAACAGGTATGAGATGTTTTGAGCTGCCTGTTCTTCTTCTTCATCACGTTCCTTGGCAAGCTCCTCATCCTTCTGGATCTTGAAGATACCCTTCAGGATGTCTTGTAGTACCTTTAAGTTCAGCTTCGATGATGACTCATACGTCCCTGAACTTACAGGCTCAACTACAACACGAGAGCAAGAAATCGCCTCCAAAAACTTGGAATTATATTGGCGTTCAAACTCTTCCTTTTTGATCATCTCATACAAGGGATCAGAAACTGCAACACGCGCCTGAACATAATCACGAAGTTGATAACATGCATGTTGCACAAATCTACTGTTGGAGTTGTGAAGAAAACTCTCCAAATGGTTTCTGTCACGGTCAATCAAATACCACACAATCCTTGCAGAAAAACGGAATTTCTTGAAGTTCATAGCAAAATGTGTATGATACTTCTCTGGATTCCTTTCTGCTTGTAAAGCGGCCTCTGAAGTCTTGTAAACAGGAAGTTTTGTGTGTGGATCCAAGATCATAAAATCTTCCCACAAGATCGAGTGGTTAAGAACTCACTTGGGAAGCACCTTGATGAAAAAGTCACAAACAAGTTCAGACAAAAGGTGCATGACACGGCCAATCTCTTCCTCCTGCTTGAAACGATAGTGCAATTTGGCAAACAAGGGACTGTTGAAGGCTTCCTCCACTGTGTTGCCAAAATTATCCCACTGAGGTTCTGGAATACCAAAGTTCCAACCCAGCAATTTGGGATCTCTGCACATATCCAAGAAGCTTGAAAGTTCTACAGAAGCAAT